CTCAAGGCTCCGCTGGCGTGTGTGCAGGCTTGCAGTTGTGTGGAAGTCGAGTAAGGAGGCAGAAAAAGAAAATGCCGTGTCCCCCAGCGAGCCGCAGACGCAAGGACGCAGCGGGCGGTTGCTGTCTGCTGAGGCAAATATAAGAAATACAAATTGCCCCGTTGCGTTACAATAAAACGCTACCATATGCTTTGCCAAAAGCTTTTTTACCGAGCGCCTGGCGGGGTGCTGAGCGGGCCGCAGACCGATGCCGATGCGTGGCATGGCGCTACGGCGGCGGGCGGGCTTTGGTCGGGCTTCTGTCCTGGTCGGGATGGAAAAGTCGGGTCATCTTCGCGAGCCTGAGGGCAAGAGGTTTGACTTGGGAGAGACCCACAGGCCGTTCGTACGGGAAATAACACTGTCAGATCAGCGCCGCAGGAAACATGTGGGGCCCGCTGGAAAAAGTGCAGATCCTGCACATTTTTTTGCTTTTTCTACAGAATCCAACTTTAGAAGGTTGTGGGGTGTTGGGGATTTTTTTTGTATAAGTTTGCATTTCTTGTGTCAGCGTGGGACCTTCAGGATACGATACGTTTTTCCAAGGAAGATAGCCAGCAGTCAGACCGGTGATAGCGAGAGAGCGCGAGTGTACGCGGTGGTCCTTTGGTCTCGGGGGGGGTTGGGGGTATTTCAAAGCCCCAGCTGGATGCTGGAGATTGGGGCTTGGCTGGGCAGAAGCCAGCACAGCCCAGACTTAAGTGGGGATTCTGTTTGCACGGCGTGGAGAACGCGCTATGCCGTCATAGACGATTGGGTGATTTTTCAGGATAGGTTTTTAGGTTTCTTGGCATTACGGAGTGTGAGTGGGACTGTTCCGTTCCTCCGTGTCGTCCAGTTTTCTTCCATAGTGCATGGAAATACACTGGAATACCTGTGTCCCAAAACAAACAACTTTCATCTGAGAACTTGAGAGTCATAAAGAAACAACTTTTTTTTTTTCCTTCCTGTCATGTACGGGTTAGATTGGCTGTATTAGCTTAGTGGACTGTTGAAATGTTCCTTTTCCTTGCTGCTGCTTTTTTTTTTTTTTTTTTTTTTGCTAGGTGCTTGGTTTTGAATCTAGCTTTTCCTCTATGCTCTGGGTTTTTTGGTTTGGTTGTTTTTTTTTTCCTTCTGATCACAGAAGCTGGAGGTGCTCGGACTGGCTGGGGCCCTTCTGGTGTGTTTCTTCTCTAATGCAGGAGAACCTGGAGAGCTGTGTTCTCTGCAACTTACCCTATCTAATCTCAAAAGTCCACAGCAGAGAGCGCTTCCACTATACCCCCTGAGAAATGGTTTAACTGTTGAACAGAGCTCTCTGTTCGGCATGCTTCCCCTGCTCCGTGGCAAATCTATTGCAGAGATCCTCCCCTGATTTCTGGGATGAATTGGTATCATTACATCCCCACCTTCCTGTAATGCATTTAATTCTTTCTGCTGGGTCATTCTCCTGCGCAATCTCTCCCCTTCCTTTAGTGTCTGGAGCCTTTGGAGACCTCCTCATCCCGTTAGCGATGTCACTGTTTAGGTAAGTGATCCGTGTTAGCTAATCTTGACCTTTCTAAACCATTTTATTTTTTCTGTGCAGTTCTGCCTTTCCTCTGATTAAGCAAATGTGCCAACAGAGCAGCCTAACTGGGTAGAGCAGGCACTGCACGCTCTGGACACCACGTAGTTCGCACTTGCGCACTCTCTCGCATCTCAAACTGTAGATGCCTGCCCAGTCTGGGAGTTCCTGTTGCTCGCAGCTCGCTCGGTCAGGCATATCCCTCCAAGTTTGTGCATATTGCTTTTTATCGAGCAGTCCCAGCATGCTGAATAGCTCAAGATGAATTATCTTTGCTTGGAGGCACTGTCTGTCCTTCTTTCTCTGGCCAAAACTAATTTTATTTTCTTGCCCTTTCCCCAAGGCACCCTTTTATGTTAGGTTTAGATTGGATATTAGGAAAAATTTCTTCACGGAAAGGGTAGTCAAGCATTGGAACAGGCTGCCCAGAGAGGTGGTGGAGTCCCCATCCCTGGAAGCATTCAAAAAACGGGTAGATGTGGCACTTTGGGACATGGTTTAGTCTAGTCTACCCTTAATTGGTTTAGTGTGGACTTGGTAATGTTAGGTTAATGGTTGAACTGGATGATCTTAAAGGTCTTTTCCAGCCTAAACGATTCTATGATTTGCCATGCTTCCAAACTCAGCAGTATCACCAGGATGAGCCTCCTTTTCTAGATCTTCCCAGTGAATGTTCAGTAAAAGCAGGTGAAGTCAAGGGGACACTAGTTAGCTTCTGTCCTTTCCTACCGTCTTCGCACTGCTGTGTGACCGTCCTTCTGGTGCTTTCAGTTGTTCTCGCTCAACAGAGAGGTCAGCAAAATCTATGATGCCAACTGCATGTCCCCCTCCTCCAATTCTGTAGTCAAAATGCTGTCTAGTTGGCATGGCACGGCATGGCAGCAGGGACGATCCTGTCATCTTCATCTTCCAGGGGTTCAGAGAGTTTTCCATGTATGGTTTTCCACATGCTTTCCTCTGGTACCTGAGCTGAATTACCTGGTAGCTGCTGCTTCTTTCCCTCTTTGGAAATACGTGTGGACAGCTGTTGGGGAGAGGCAGAAAGGGAGCAATTTGAGTAGAAACCATGCCGTTGCCTGGTGGCATAGCCTAGGAGAAAAAGGCCTGTTGGTAGCTGGGCCTCATGGTTTGACTGCCTTTTGTGTTCAGGTGAGGTGAGGGAGAACAAGGCACTCTTGAGCTGCACGTGGCTGAGGAGATAAGCCCAGTCCGTGCTCTGTCATGCCGTATGGGGCTGGAGTTGGAGTGAGGGGGAAAAGTGTAGCCTGGCTGGAATACAGGAGGTAGGGCAAATTCAGGAGAGGAAAATACAGAGATTGGGAAAAGGGAAGAAGAGAAAGCGAACCTAACCAAAAGAAGGTGATCGCTTCTCTGCAGGAGAAGGGAGCGGGCAAGAAGCAGTAGCCAGAAGGGGTGTGTGGGAGGAGGGATTGGTGCTGTGCGTGGAAGAGGGTAGCACCACAGCTCAGCTAAGGCTCCTGACCCAGAGATAACGGGCGCCAGGTTAATCTGTAGTGCAGTGTGAGCGTCCTGCTGAGTGGCTGGACGTGATAGAAAGCTTCCTTGTGCGCAAGGCTTGATTGTGCTCCCGCTGACTTCAAATGGCAAGCGACCACGTGAGGACAGCTCAGTGCGTGAAGAAGGGATGATGTGCATGCTCCAGGCAACACTGTGATTGCGGTGCCCTATCCTGCAGGCACTCAAGCCTACGTTTTCCTCTTGCAAGATGCCAGCAGCTTGCAAAGCCTACTAAATTCAGTAGCCTCTTCCAGGGTTCGTGTTAGTCTGTTCACAGCTGACAAAGTCCTACTGAGCATCGGGGAACAGTGTCCTGGGTGACTCTTCTGGTTTCCTCTATTACATCTTTACTTGACAGCCATCAAAACGAAGAAATAGGGCTTCATCTCGGCTCCGTGGGAATACAATGCTTTAGACAGCTCTGTCTTTGGGCTTTGGTGGGAAACCAGGAGGTTAAAAATGGAGTTTTCCCCTCTGAAGCAGGGGTTCCGGGGGAGAGGAAGGCTGGGTTTGCAGTGGAGGGGATTAGGGCCTGTATATTGTTAGGGAATGAGAGCGCTGTACTGTCTTTTTCTTGCTACTCCCCTTCAGTTGGGGAAGCAGTGTCTCTGAACTTAGGTTTACCGCAGTCCTGAACAAGCCAGCTGCAGTCTGTTGCTTTCTGAATGCAGGCGAGAACAGGATTCCTGCAGCCAGCTGTCTTTAGTTCTCCTGCTTTATCCTGAGTTAATAGTATCTGGGACATGCTGGTTGAGAAGGGTAAAACCAGGAGTTACTACTAGCTTTGCTTTGCCTACTAAGTTTTGTATGTCCAGAATTAGCTAACTGAGGGAGTGCTCACTGAGTAACCAGCCCTTCCTAAAAGGAACGCAAGCTGGGCATCTCAAACTAGATTTGGTGTGACTCTTAAGGATCCTAGGATAGGAGTGGAGATTTCCCCCAAAGTCTTTATTTTAGACCGTCATCTCTTCTGTTGCTGGTCTGGAAGCAATCCATGCCAAAAGGGTGAAGCACTTCAATAGGGAGGCAGGGTAGACGAACTGGAGCTACTGCAGCTGGGCACAAAGCAGGTCCTCTAAGCCAATCCTGCCCTCTTCATTTTCATCACCCTCCCAGCCTCACTTCAGTGCCTGCGAGAGGCTGGAGGTGGATGTGTTGCGAGTGTTCGAGGGAGGCTGGGAATCGCCCCCATATAAAGTTTCACTGTGCTGGTACCCCACAGCCAGGCCAATTTTGAGGAAGACAGCCAGAAGCAACCAGCGGTGGGACACTGGAAGCCACTAATGCCATCCAAAGGCAGCAAGGAGGAGCCAGAGACTGGATGCCAGGATGCTGGAGGTGTGGATGAGACCCAGTCCACTGAGCAGCTCAATGTGTCGCGTCTACGCAGCTCTTCGGTGGAGATCCGTGAAAAGGGGTCTGAATTCCTGAAGGAAGAGCTGCACAAAGCACAAAAGGTAAAGCCCGGGGTTTGTGACAACACCTGAGGATGGCGGCACAGATTTGAGTAGGGGGGAGTTTTCTAGGGGAGGTGCTGAGGGGAGCAGGGTCTGAATGTGGCTGTGCCGCAGTCTGGAGCAGGCAGAAGAGGAGGGAGATTGAGCTGAGGTGGCCATAAAGTGCTTTGGAGCATGACTTCAGTTGCTACATTGACCCAAAGCCTCCGTGCCAGCATCCAAATTAGTCCTGGAAACTTGCTGCATAATGCAGCTTGAGGCAGGCAGTGCTTACTATGGAGCCTCATTGCTAATGGCAAATGAGCAATTCCAGCCTGAAAAGCCTGCTGCAACTTCTGGAGGGATGCCTTTGGTGACACGGAGCGTGGTACAGAGCTTAGCAACACGAGTCTTGGGCCGGGGATCCATGCCGTGGTGGGGAGGAAAGGTTGTGACTGATCGGTGGAGGCCCGCAGGCATCAGCACTGTTGGGGCCTGCTATGAGCTCACACATCCCTCTCCCATTTCCACAACAGGAGCTGAAGCTGAAGGACAAAGAATGTGAGAGATTGTCAAAAGTCAGAGAACAACTGGAGCAGGAACTAGAGGAGTTAACAGCTAGCCTAT